CTGGTCTACACACCCATCAGCATGTGGGTAAATTAATCAAATTAACTGCCTCATACTATTAATTAAAGTATCTACATTACGAATGAGTAATACTGCATATTTATTATAACAAAATTACACTTGATTAATTGCAATACAAACAATCAAGTTTATCTTCTTGAACTTAGCCTATAGATGTCATTCAGATTAAATTATATTGTTGCTGAAACTTTAAATTGTAATTTATTAGTAGCCCGCTTTAACCTCGGACAAGTGCTATTTCTTAAAAATCACAACAAGCAGATTTATTTAATTATTTTATCGTCTGCTGGATAGAAGTCTTTAGCACGATTCACTAATAATTTTCAAAGAAATACTCCAACAAGTCTTTTTATTTTGCAGCCGCACTTCAACCACTCGACTAAAAAGGCCGTCAAAAAATCGTTCGAAAATAATGTCGATGTCTTTTAAAGTATCATAAGTGCTAAGAGTTCATCTACCTGAGCTAAATATAATAATAATGTATGTTTTTCCTTGTCAAACTAAACCATTGATTGATATGTTGGTAGATACGAAATGGATAACACTTATTAATTCCACCTATAATTAATTATTATATGAAATTGTTTAACGACATGAAATTATAAGTTACAATAGTCTTAGCTGTTATAAATTAATTATAGAGCGAATATAGAAAAGATTAATATATCTGTGTCTTTAGTTCACTAAAGATGTTCACATCGAAGTTCGATACCCGAGTTTGACTGTGTATGTGTATTAATTATTTTGCTGTCGATATTGTTTGCCGATAATTTGGAATGGGCCGGCTTGACCAGAATGATACCACGGCCTCACAGAAGACCGACGTAAACCAACGCTTGCGTTGTATTTCGTCGTGTGAGTAAGGTTACCGGAGGCCCAATACTTAGTATATATTTGATAAATAATATATTGGTAAGTATTTAAGCCATGACTGTAGACGATATTTGACGGTAAGATAGCGAAACGGTTAAACTTTTTGAAAATCATCTAATATAAATATGAATGTACTTGATAATTGAAACTACAGACTAAAGCAAATAAAAAGTATCGATAAATCAAAGTCCTTCTTTTTCCACGTAGTTCTTGCTGGAATCTTTCAAGTTTTTATGTTCGTTTCTTGTGTAAGACACTATGACGTCCCGGTCATAATCTAGATGCTAAACTAAATAATACTACACCGTCAATGTAGACCTGTCAGGTCATCGCTCACAACTGATGTTTTTATAGCTCAATATAGCCCCTCATTTATTTTTTATAGCCTAGAGATAGCCTTTTTCATTACAAAAATAATCAAGCTCTTAGCTTGTTTATTTTTTGTTACTAAAGAAAGTGAGTAAGGTTTAATTTATTTATTAACGTCGTGTATAATTTATGTCCTTATGCTACGTTTGTTAATTTCTAAAGGGCTAGCACAAGTTTATACGTTTTTAGTTTTAGTTCTATAATTCTATGTTAATAGAGTATTGCACCTTTTTGACTCTAAAATCTATATATATATAATTCAAAGGTGATTGACTGACTGACTGACTGACTGACTGACTGACATAGTGATCTATCAACGCACAGCCCAAACCGCTGGACAGATTGGGCTAAAATTTGGCATACAGATAGATGTTATGACGTAGGCATCCGCTAAGAAAGGATTTTGATAATTTCCACCCCCAAGGGGGTAAAATAGGGGATGAAAGTTTGTATGAGACTTTGTCAGTTTTAAACCGATCAGGTTGAAATTTGGCATGCAGATAGATGTTATAACGTAAGCATCTTCTAAGAAAGAATTTTGATCATTTTCACTCCTAAGAGGGTAAAATAGGGGGTGAAAGTTCGTATGGAACTTTGTCAATTATAAAACGATCTGGTTGAAATTCGGCGTGCCGATAGATATTTTGACGTAAACATCCTCTAAGAAAGGATTTTGATCATTTCCACCCCCCAAGGGGGTAAAATAGGGGTGAAAGTTTGTATGAAACTTTGTCAGTTTTACACCGATGGGGATAAAATTCGGCATGAAAGTAGATGTTATGACGTAGGCATCTCCAAGTAAGGATTTTGATCATTTCCACCTCCAATGGGATAATGTAGGGGATGAAAGTTTGTATGAGGCTTTGTCAGTTTTACACAGATCGGGTTGAAATTCGGCGTGCAGGTAGATATTATAACGTACACGTCCCTTTAGAAAGGTTTTTGAACATTTCCACCCCAAAGTGGGTAATATAGAGGTAGAGGGTGAAAGTTTGTGTGATACTTTGCCAGTTTTAAACCGATCGGGCTGAGACTTTGCATGCATAAAATTACTATGACATAGGTATCTCCTTAGAAAGGATTTTGATAAATTCTACCCCTAAGGGGATAAAATAGGGAATGATAGTTGGTGTGAAATTGGGAATGAAAATTGAATCTAGAATCATTGAATCTTTTTAAATTACATTCGGTAAAACGATGATTTGGGACCTGAGTAACGTATGATAGTTTTTATCACAGAAGTCCCTCGGGAACGGGAACTATGCGTCAATGCTCCAGGACTCTCTTTCTTATCTCTTAACCACTGAACTTATTTCATAGAGATTCTGTACAACAATAGTCGAAGTTTTTATTACTCAAAACTTACGTGATCGGGCCGGGACTGGTAAGAACCCTGCGGGATTTTTAATTTACGATAAATCATTTCACAATAGGTAAATCTTAATTGGGCACTGAATTGATTCTGATGAATTCTGTCAGAAGTCATTAATCTACGCGGACGAAGTCGCGGGCAACAGCTAGTTAATTAATAAAGTTCTTAAGTCTGAATCTTAAAAACGTGATGGAATACGAGTACTAACCTTATCGAAAAGACATCATATTTTTGTCATAAAATTCTCGTGTACGTTCTGTTTGTCACTGATGTCTAACTGTCATAACCGGCGAAAAGAAACTGCAAATTATAATTATAAGTACTGCAAATTCCACTTACTGTAAAGATTAAAATCCATGATAAAAAGTTAAGTTGCCCGTTATTTTACAAGAGATTATTTAAAGTTTATTAATTACTTTTAATGCTTGGAGTCACGATATTGTTTTTAACTCTCCGTGATAAATTCACTAATAATATTGTGTATAACTGTAGTTGAAGATATTGAACTGTTGTCAGAAATGACGCGTATTACTTGAATAGCAAACTAAATATCCCGTTAAATAACCTTTGTAAGTGCGAGCCATCTTATTGGGCGGCCATTGTTGTTGATCAAACAATCGCTTACATATTTTTGAGGAGATAATGTAAGATTTTGTTTTTGAGGGAAATGATTGCAAAATCTCTAATGAATTGGGATTTACAATTAAAAGTATCACATTAATTATGATAACTAAAAAATCTGTTTTAGACCAAACTATATGTACTCTTTTTTTAGAATACCACAATTGCTCCTATTACGTTTAAAATCGCCATAAAATAAAAAACAAACCTAATGAATTAAAAACCTAAGACAGCGAGCTTGCGATCTTATCAATGAGGTATAAAGATTCTTATCACTAATTAAGAATTAAAACGCTTCATTTTGCACAAAACTACAGCTCTATAATATTATAATCCTCTAACATTTAATGTTATAGTTATAGTACATAGTACCTAATTAGTTAGCAAAGTGTTATTCTCGGTAAACAACAATAACCGGTTGTACAACGTTTAATAACTTTTAATGAAATAACTGTGAATATAGTTTTACTAACGATACCTTCCTGTCAATTACTGAGAACGATTGACACTTAAATTACCGTTGCTTACTTACTTATCACTTGATTAAAATAATGTTGAACCATGTCATTATACACAATGAAGAAAATCTTATGTGTTAAAAGTTTGATGTAATTTTTTCCAGTGTCGTGCGTGCGTCTAAAAACATACAAGTTCACAGGACATTTTCCTGTGTCATGGGTACCTTTAACAAACATACAAATTCACATACAAATGGCACCCAGAGCCGAAACAACAATTTGTGTATTACACAAGAGTAGCTCCGTCCGAGAATCGAACCAGCTATACGTTGCCCCCAAAAGTGGTCAATAGTAGTATTTATGACTCTTTAGAAAGACTTAGCACAGTTATAGAACAACCTACGAAATATAAATGTAAACAATTCGTTCACATTCATTTCTCCAGTGGTATAACAAGTCCAATTATTTTTTTTTCTTATATTTTTCCTTACGATGCAGATAAATCCCAGTACTATATATTTAAAAATCATTCTTCCAACCGTCAGAACAACAAACCAGGTAGTCAAAATATTATAACTACAAAAATCTAAAAAAATACATTTATTTATTTACATATAGTAGAGTCTTCCTACTATTGTTTCAATGCATAATACAGTAGCAAGATATGTTATCAGTGAATACTAATAAATGATAAAATTATCATAATTTAAATTCAAATATGATTTATTGTTGATTCTCAATTGAAAATGTAAAAATATTATAAGGTTGCACGAATCTGCATCGTTGATGTCTTTTTAAGGCACAGTTCGTGCGCTACGAATGTTATCGCTGGTGCATATTTTGTTCGAATGGCGTACTTGACGAATTTGTCATTATTAGTGAAATAGTGACATTTTATGTATATTGTGTTGGGGTTTCAGCTTTTTGCTATTGGCGTACGGTAATAAATTTACGTTTCAATGTCACCTTTTTTGTTTTTATTATGTCTATTTTTTTTTGTTAAGTGTCTCGTAGGTTTCGTTGAAATTACTAAACATTATAAATATATACTATAATTTATATAGTTTCCTATCAGTATAGAAACCACATAAAAATATCGGCAGTCTTTACATAAGCTGTAAACTTTACTATTAAGATCTATCTAAAAAAGATATAACTTATCAATAAAATGTCCCACGCTACGTAAATGGACAACATTATAATATTCTACTTTCTCAGGATAATATCCTTAACCGATGTCGTAGTTATCTTAACTGTATCGAGAGTAACTGTAAAAAGATATTTACCTTCTTATTCGACCCCAAAAAGAGCACAGCACGTTCAGGACAACAGTTTCAACGGAAACGTGTCAACAAACACTCAGAACACTTGTACAAAGTCAGTTTATTACTTGGAGCTACAACAACTGCGGACTTAATAGATAAGTATTGAATAATTCGTTCGGATGTCGGATGTCGACCGGCATGAGGCATCAGCGCGCGCGCACCTTTACGGTCTGTTGGGATGTGCGGCCGCGCTGCACTTGAACGTTGAACTGGCGCGACAACCCGACCGCAGCCGCGAGACCGCCGCAACCACCCGCCGCCGAGCAACCAGCGCGCCACGCAACTCCGCCGGGTCATACCAACACGTACGGCTCCACGGTAATTGTAGCGCAAAATATGAACGCGGCCAATGGACATCAGACCACAGGAACATTTCGGAAACTGTGTTGTGGTGAGCCGCTGACTGCTACACAGCTTAATTGATCGCCTTAAGATCGGTATCTATCTATAGTAACGTTATCTATCGGCCGTAGCTGTTTCTAATAGATTCGCACTAATTGTAACGTTCTACATAGATAATAGCCGTAACCAACTGCAAATCGTCGGGTGATTCAGTATGGCAAGTGCGAACACTTGTCCACGCGAGCCACCAACCAACATCGTTCAAATGTCACATACAATACAATTTACCGACGTTCAATGCCGGACTCCTTAGAATTTAAATCGCAAATGGCGCATATTGAGGAGTAGCGCTTCTGAGGAAGCAAGACCAACCATTAAAATATAAAGATTACAGCAAAATATCAAACAATACTTTTAAATCAAAACTCAAGTGCGATGTCAAATATTTGCATACCACAACAATTATGTTTGTAATCGTTATACATAACGAATAATTAAAATTAATTTCAGTTTGTTGTAACAATAGCAATGAGTAGTACACATCAACATATCAAAGCACTGCGCTGCAGACAAGGCCGAGATACATGGCAACATATAATAAAAAACATGTATACTCCTAGCTATGTTAAATTAGCTTGGAAGACAATAAAGGCATACTTGAACGATGGTGAACTCATAGATACTAGATACTTGCTAGTTAATTACTACGGAGAATCTCGCTGCGTCATCTAAACTTGTGTTACAGTTTAAGTGGCACTCGATGCCTTATTAATTTATAGAGTATCGCTGTTACAAAGACTTTGTACTGCTCTGCTCTCATTTCTCAAACAATACTTCACAGTCAAGACCCCGAAGTATTCACTAAAATAGTCTAACATTTACTAATTAAACTTAAAGGTTAGAAGATATCTTCAATTAGTTACATGAACATTTTTCCCTTTTAAGATTGACGTAATAAAACAAGGTATTTTAAGTAGCAATAAGCAAGGAAAGTCGTAGTATATGCAGTATAATAGCGACATCCTGTACATGTCCTAGGCTGCGAGTGGTCGCGGCCGGGCATCGAACCCTGGACGCTGCCCGCACAGCCGCTCCGCGTAAACATCGACGCACACAAGTGCAGGCAAGATCACGACTTTAAAATAACCAATAAAAATAATACAGAGTTATATCGGCAGGATTCTGCAACGATGGCTCATAGCACTTTGTAATCGATAATAACATTGAAGTTACTAAGTGTAATATAATAAAAACTTGATCATAATTACTTTAACTTAACAATAAAAATGTTACAAACATAAAGGTTATGTGAAAACATCAGTTAAATAATAAATTATCTGTGCACGCTCTCGTGAAGATTTAATGGAAAATATTTCATCACTTTCGTTGAGAGACACGACAATGTCAATAAGTTAACGATGAGTTTACAGCCACTTGTGAACCAATTATAAAGTTATGAAATATTACAGACAAGAGCTCTAACAATCCCTTCATTACGCTGTAAATATCTATGACAATCTGCAAGAGTTTGTTATGAAAGTATATTTTGTATTGTCTTAGTAGCTTTACTCGTAATCTTACCTGCTTCATCAAGTGATATTAGATTGATCAATTACAAATATTTGGTCAATTTAGACCCCTTAATTTGGCAAGCGTTCAAATTAAGTAAGTTCCTTAAGTTGACTGTACACGTCAGTCCTAAGTCGCAGAGGTTTCACTGAACGTTTATTCTCGCACAGTGCGAGCGTTACAACACATAAACATGGTGGCTCCCTTAGACCCTCGTATAACACAATTTTACGCTATCCGCGCGTACTTTTACAATAAAACACTTTCAAAACTTACTAATAAAACTTCCTTTGTTATATTGCTAGTTTATTTCGAAGTTTCTAGGAACTAAAATTGAGCATAATGTACCTTACGAACTAAGTATAAATAAATTTTAACCGAAGCAAAGACCCGACTCAATGAGAACTTAGGATTTAAGTTCAGTCAAGTCAGGGCTACCTATTTCTAGATTAGGGTGATATTTCAGGACCCTTATTTGAGCATGTTTCAGTCAAATTCTCACATAATTCAATTCAGGGTAACAAGGATATTCAGTATGGCAGCGACTCTAACAAATGCTGAACACATTTGCCAGCATATTCTATCCTTATCCCAAATCGACTTTCCATTACATTAATAAAGAAAAATATACTATTTAAATCGTCGTTACCCCGTATCAATTTATGACTTACTACGTAACTAATAATCGCTAACGTTTCGTTTCTTCTCTATTCTTCTTCGTAGTGTTTTGATATGGCGTCCAGTATGAATTGGAAAGTTCTAGGATTTATCCAACTGTGTCCTGAAGGTAATTCGTGTGGTTCTAAAGAGTCTAAACTCCTCGCGTTTCTTCCTACGGTACGCTCGAGGAAGTAGTCGTCGTATTCCCTGTCGTAATCAGGTAAAATCGGGTTGAACTTCGCGTAGTAGATGGCGGACAGACACGCGTACAGAAGCAGAGCTGCCGTGAACAGCTGGAAATTAACAAAGACATGTTAATAAATTGGAAATCAATAGGCCTATCACATTACAATTGCAATTAATTAATGGAATTGTCCATCACCAATTATCTATTGAGATATAAAAATGTTGTTTAACAATGGAACTCAGGTTTTATTCATTAAGACAAGGTCGAATAGTAATTTTAAAGTCTTGTTATTAAACATTGTCCTGAACCTTTGTTTGAGGGAAAGTGCGTAAATCTAATGTGGATTATTTCACCAACCACAAACAGATATGATGATTTGTAAATCCAATAAGGCTGCTCAACTAATTCCCACGTTTTATTCATCGATTCAAAGATTCAATTGCTCATCGGCTTAGAAGCATTGACATTCAAAACCACATGCTATTGAATGAAAAGTATTGAAACATCCGTCAGTGGCTAAATAATGTATCTGTTTACGAAGATCTGCTCTTATGTGGTAAGTTGTAGTGGATCTGAATGTGAATCAGGCACAATAAGCGGTGGGTCATTACCGCGACCCGCACGCGTCGAGCATCGAACGCCGCGCTCCGCCGGAACTACTCACATCCTCCCTCCACCCTGCCTCCCGATCGTGACCACCATTTTGAAACGTTACGTCGTGTTTACAAAATACTGCTTAAAATCTTACGTAAACTTAGCAATATATAGGTACTCAGGTTTTAATGAAATTGTCTTACATGCCAGCAAAAAATATAAATTAATTAGGTATTAATTCTTCGTAACAAAATAGTAATTGTATTAATTAACTACATAATGAATTTTATTTTATATTCTTTTGATTAGACAAAGACTGTTTAGACGCTCTTTAAATAATTACCTCCGAGGAGGTACCCCTGGAGGAAGTTTTTAGATATATCTTCCCTTTACTGGCAACATGAGCGTTATCGTTGAAGTTGAAAAAATCAGGAAACATTTAAAAGAAGAAGCACTTAAGCTGCGGCCGTGAAAATAATACCACGTCTCGACCACTGGCCAATGCGTTGTCAATAATTGCTCTTATTAAGTAGATATATGCTTGTAATGGTGGGAAATATGACCAATATGTATGTAAACAAGCCTTTTGATTGTCTAAACACGCAGTCATATAATTGTCGAAAGCTCGATCTAGGAAATGTTAGTGAGTAGCGACAATGGCAAGGTCTCGGTACTGCATGTTGTCGCGAGTAGCGACGGTCATCACATGGTTACATTCATAACTATGTCAATGTTATGTCGTCTAACTACCGCCTGAACGATAAATGACAACGTAATATTATCATTTTTTGTTGCGAAACTATAAAACAACGATTTTCGCGCTACGATGCGCTACGCTGCGCTTGAGGTCAAGTCTATTTTTGCGCATTCAGAAGAAGATGACGTGTGTCAAAAACAAGGTGTAAGCGTTTAGAAGCTGTAATTAAATAATTTTATGGAACGACTTTTTAATTGATCACGATATCTGTACATACAAGATTTATTCGTCTGTATTGGCATCTTGAAACATGAGTGTACCGATTCTGATTTAAAATATCGTAGAACGATCAATCATCTTTTGAAGTTTTACATAGTTTATTTTTCCCAATCTTAATTCTTGAATACTTGCTAAACCAATCAAATAGCTACGTATTATCATTTTGCAAAGTGATTGACTGACGGACAATTCAAAAATTGTTTGGGGTTATTTGAAGGCTGAAGCATGTTCAAAGCCTTACCTGGAAGACACTCCAGAACTTAAAAGAACCCTCGTTGATGATCCAGTCGTAGTATCCAGCCCAGGGGTCGGTGTACCTGGCTTTTTGCTTCATAGGTTTAGGAGTAGTGGTGGGTTCCTCGTAATGGTGGTGGTGGTCTTCATCATAATAGTCTTCGAATCCTCGACCAGTTCCGACTGTCCCATTTTTCGGCTTCGTCCTGTTTCTTCGTACCTGAAAATGTTAATACGAAATTATGAACTAGCTTTTTTTTAAATAAAAATGGTATTTATGTTATAAAAAGCTATGAAAATAATGATAAAATACATAATTATGTGAGTAAAGTCGTAATGTTGAGAAGTGCCTTCGCTACTTTCATAGCAAGCAATTTTCTTGTTAAGCTGTGAACTACTTGCGACAAGTTGCTAAGAAACTTTTCCAAGTACTTGCTATGAACATAACAAGTTGATGTCTAGTCTAGTCATACCTTACCTAAGACAACTTTCAGGTAAGAACATCAATTTCTGTCTACGTAGCTAAAATAACTGCTTAAACAAACTAAACATTGCTTTATAAAATCTATTGCCATTCAATTCAACTAATTTCGAATGCGAGTAAATATTTTTTTTGAATAGATGTTCTCGGGAATTTTCTAGTGATTTTTTCTACAAAATTAATTCTTTTGTAGAATATTATAAGTATTGAGTTTTTCTCAAACTCAATAGTTTACACTCCAAAGTATTATCTCAATGCATCTCTTCCTAACTCGCTCTTTCCTCAGAGAAATTCTATAATGATAAAAAATATATTTGAATTAGGATGTAATAAAATCTAACTTTTACAAACTACCAAAATTGATACTCGTTAGTTCCAATTCCAAATCAGTTATTCTTTTGTTGCTACAGCAGCAAAGATTCCATTAAAAAATGTAACATGTCAGCAAACGAAAACTTGAATGGAGACGACAATAAGAATTAAGCTAAGTAGTCGTTATATTTCCATTTACACACATATGTCAACCAAGCTGCGCTTGTCTAAGGCGTCTAGTTAGCGCCATCGAGTCGGTCACCCACTTCAACCAATTTGCCTAGTTCAGTATATACCGTATTATGACCTTCTTTCAAAATTCCCCACATACGATTGGAATGTTCAGACTGTTTCAGTTGCTCGGAGTCTTCACGGATCATTTCGGTAATTTTAATTGTTGACCGCACGTGTAGGAAGATGTTTTTCTAGTATGGTAACAATTTCTTTAATTTGGTACACTCTGATGATATCACAGCTGAATTTGAATATAAAATATGTTCAGCAAAAGTCTTAGGTATTTTAATTAAGTGAACTGCACCAATGTTATTAATTAATTTTATTATTGTCTTTTTACTTCTATTTAAGTAAGTATTCACATATTTTTTATAGAATGGTACCTATGTTAAAGACTCGAGTTTAAAACTACTTAGTTACACTTTCAGTTTATCGAAAAAGTTAAATAGGTAGAAATAGGATAACATATAAAATTACGGGTGTCTAGAAAACGTAGCTAAAAATATAACATGTCCTTTACCTGTGATAAAGGGCAAAGGGCATATCCTACACTTGCGGCAATAGGTATTTGGTGAAAATGGTAGTAGAGACCATCATTCTAAGCATATAGAATACCTTATGTAACGTAATAGATATAAATGGGAGTTCATATAGATATTAAACCTAACTCAAAAATGACGACAAATTACACTCAGGTACAAGTGCATTCCAACTTTAGCAAATAACTTTCCCAAATAACTATTACTTTCCTGAACAGCGATGGATATTTGTTTTATGATTGACATTTTTATTAGGTATCCCTATCATTCTGACTCAACTTTTATAGAAAGATAGGTGACAGAACTGGTAACATACTGCGACGGCTGTGGTACTGTTGGTGGTGGCACTGGTGGCGGCTGCGATGGCTCGTTGCTTGTTGACATTCCTGACTACGTCCAGCGCAGTCCGCAGAGCTGTCAGGATGAACTCCGAGATCGGCATCCTACTGGACGACTCCTCCTCCGCGGGGGACGACAGAGATGCCTCGGGAATCTCATCAACACTATAAAGAATAACATTAAATCCTTAAATACCCGAAATATTACGATAAAAGTACTACTACAACCCTATAATCAGGTGTTGTTAAAATGATAATAGAGACATTATTTTTTTCATTCCAAACGAATTAAGCAACAACAGCCTTTAATATAGGCTACAAATGAAAACAACATTACCAATCTTCATAATAATGCAGTCTGTACAGAATAGATATTATAATATATCATTTAGACTCTTTTATAAATAACTAGCGACCCGCCCCGGCTTCGCACGGGTGCAATATGCATGTATTATACATACAAACCTTCCTTAAGAATCACTCTATCTATTAAAAAAAACCGCATCAAAATCCGTTGCGTAGTTTTAAAGATCTAAGCATACATACGGACATACAGCGAAAGCGACTTTGTTTTATACTATGTATTGATGATAAATATGTTTGTGGACAATGTTAAAGTAATTCCAAACCTTTACGATGGATTAGTTACAAAGTTCTTACATTACATAATTACAATAAAAATAAAACTTATTCTAGTTACAGAAAAATGCAATAAAAATGATAGCAAAAAGTTACTCACTGTAGCGGTATGTATCTGTACTTGTTGTAGGGCGGCGTGTACGGCGTAGCGGTGTCGTAGCGCAAGGCTGCGCGCGCGCCGCCCGCCCACAACGCAAGCGCGACTGCGCCCAACCAGACCACCCCATGACATGACAACAACACCCCTCTCGACACCATGGCCAAACCACTGAATTAGAATTAAAACAAAAAAAATCGGTGGTCTATAATAGTCCTTCAGTTTCACTTTTCAACTTCTAAGGTACTTCGTTTTTTTAATGGATGTGCATGGTTCGGCGGTGGGCAAGCTACTGACAGATTTGTGATGTCGCGCCCCAGTTAACAGTGCAAAGGGAGCACCTGAAATATGAATACTGTAAACACACCGAGCGTGTATCTTAAGTGGCGTGTCAATTTAATTTGTACAGTTGACACACTAGTGAAAGCTTGAGCCGAGTTACTAGATCTTTTTCCTATCAATTTTATCAGGTAATTAACGCGTTTTACAGTTTTCTCTCATTATCCGCGTTTACCGTTACTGTTTGGAATCTAATTTAAATAAAATGCAAATACTTGAGTATGATGGACCAAGGAACATACGCAAGCCTCTTGTTCTGTAGACCATATTTTCAATACGTAAATAGATCATAATTGGTATGTAATTACTTTAATCATTAGATACGCGCAGATGTTTCAATATTAAGAATACATTAGCAAGTACCTTATCCATCAAATTTATTAATATGTTGGCAGTAACAGTTCAACATCAAGACCATTCATACATTAGTCGGTGTGTCTCTCTTAATAAATATCATATACGGTTAAATTTAACAAATATAAAAATATATTTGTGTTAAAAATAATATAAGGTGAGGAACATTATTAATATCTTTTATTAGACTATACCTCTAGATTGTAATAACGTAATACATCGAGACACAGTCTCGTCTTTCATTAATACAGTTTACACGTGCGAAAAGGGTCATGAAGGAAGCAGCCATTTATCACCGGCCTTCTAACAGTAATAATTTATTATTGCTTATTCTCTCTCTCCCTCTTTATCTATGTCTCCCTTTTCCTCTGAACATATCAGTACGTATAGTAGTACAATGCAGAGCTTGTGACCATGTAATTATCAAGTGTTTCGATGATCTACTTATCTGCTGCTCTCATAATCTATATTTAAGATAAATCATGTTACTTTAACATTTTTCTAGAAGCAAATATTACGAAAATATTTTCCAGATAAACTGCACACAGATAAGATATTGCAGTTTTTAACACTATATCTCATCATGAGACAACTGAAATCCGCAATGCGGGTTCACGGTGGTTCAGCCAACTAGAACTTAACACTTGGCTGTAGTACTGAGTTACAGAACATTTTATAGATTGTCTAAAACATCTTCTATTTTAATACTTTGACGTGGCATTTGTTCTGATGTAATTATACTACTTACAAAAACTTACAACGTGGCTTTTAATTTGAATAAAACTGCTTAATATCTCGCTGTTTTGTCACACGTCATGAGTCGACGTAAACTGTTCAAAGATTAATCCGTGTTAGTCATGAAACTTATGATTGATTGGCAGGGATCTTGTTATTTAAATTTGGTACCGTTAATATTAAAGTGCGTACCAGCGTATCAGATTACTTTAAAAAATTATCTACCTATATTTGTAAGTAACTAACTAGGACAAGTGTTAGCTTGAGTTAGATTTTGCAATAGAAAAAAAAGTTATTTCGCTTCAATATTTCAGTGGAGGCACACCAACACATCCTGAAATCCTGAAAGAATTGATTATCTCATTATGCGGAACATTTATTACGCCATTTTGCTCGTATTGTTTGGCCAGATCTATATTGTTTGTGGACTGTCGGGGACAAATCCCGTAATTGATACTAAAGTTGGCCCAATTCGTGGTTTACGAGGGACTGATGGCGATTATTCAATGTTCCTTGGAATACCTTACGCAGTTGTCAATAAAACTAATCCTTTTGGGGTAAGTCTACTTCAATGAGTAACTTCGGCACTTATTAGTTTATTACTTCGCGCTCTTAGTAACACTTTTAACGTATACGTAAGTTAGAATAACAAAAATTACTATTAAAATTTAAATAGAAAAGGTATTATACTACTTTGTGTTATTATTTGAATTATTTATTTTTGCTTACGTTTGTTTATCCGGCGACCACTCTCCACTAACTACATTATAGACCTTATTACCAATGTTTAGATACTACTTTTGTGTGAATAAATTTAGGGGATGATTTTCAACAATTTGCAACGGGTTATAAAACTGTACACTGCCCACCTGTTATACTTAGATACTAACTTAATTTAATCTATCTATATGTACTTATAATAAGAATAAGAATAATTAATTTGAATGTACTCCACTTACAATATGTTTTTTTTTATTACTATATTAAAATAAAATTATGCTAGACTATTAACTAGATAATAATAATACATTATTTTGTTTAAAACTATGGACAGAAAAATAATAGGACTAGTACTAATATTTGTCGCGATTTGCTAGAACTAGGTTTATGCAACCTGTGTTTCAAGTCATCACTTTATTACTATTCATGTTAAATCTATACAGGTTTGTATTATCATCTACTTAAATAAAATTTAGAAATTATAAAACAAATTAATCTATTTATGTGACCTACTAGGTATGTAGACCTATAATAAATCTGTAGAGAGGTCAATTCTGTACATGAAATACATTTCCAAAATAACTATCAGGGGGTGATTAGCGATCGATACTAATGCCAAAAATGCAATCAGTAAAATTTTTGTCTGTCTGTCTGTTTGTCTGTATGTTTCTTATAGAAATAAATTTTGAAAATTCGCGACGTGACGCTTTTTTCATGACATTCAAGATACTATGAAAGATACGACTATTCACTTATTTGTACATTTTTCCTCCCAGATCTCTTTGCCGCATCCCAGATTCCGGGAAGTGTTTGACGCTTTCGACGATTCTGCAATATGTCCCCAAGTTGAAGAATTTAACAATACCATAGTTGGAACACTGGACTGCCTTCATATAAACATTTTTGTTCCCAACTCAGCCAGCCCAAATAATCCGTTACCTGTACTGGTCTACATCTACGGTGGTATATACATGATCGGCTTCGCAGGCAGATACTTATATGGACCTCGTTTCTTGATGAAACAAAACATTATTTTAGTAACGTTTAACTACCGTCTTGGTCCGTACGGATTTATGTGTCTTGATACACCAGACGTACCGGGCAACCAAGGAATAAAAGACCAAAAATTAGCTCTAAAGTGGATTAAAGAGAACATAGAAGCGTTTGGCGGAAATTCGAATAAAATTACATTATGTGGCAGCAGCTCTGGTGCCATAACGGTCGACTTCCATTTAATGTACAGTCACGAAAAATTATTTGACCAAGTTATCATGCAAAGTGGGACTGCTTTATACCCGTGGTCTATGTTGCAACCAGATACAATGGTACCACTGAAATTATCTAAGCATCTCGGCTCCACTGCCACCACCATTAACGAAGCTCTAGCATTCCTGGCCACAGTTAGTCCTAATATATTAATTGCAGCAACTTCAGAACTTGGTCTTCACTTTCGTCCGTGTGTGGAAAATGACATTAGAAACGGTGAAAAGTTTATTTATGACTATCCTGTGAACATAAAAAAGCCGAGTCTTGGGAATGTTCCTGTCCTCTTAGGATGCAACAGTCACGAAGCTCTTGCAAGTTTCGAAATAATTCCACCAGAAAATTTTACACAAATAAGTTTATTTCTTGATAATCTAGATCAGTACTTCAACTTAGATTCAGAAGAACTTGTGAAAGTTCAGAAAATAATACAACACTTCTACATTGGAGATGAAAAAATAAGTGTAGAAGTAAAATCAGGAATCAGCAAATTAAATTCGGATTTTTATTATAACTATCCTATTGTTCGAACTATTCAAAAATACCTTGAGAATGGATTTGATAAAATATATTACTATGAATTTGCACACAGTGGAAGGAGGAACTTTTTGAAAGCCAGATTTGACGTATCAGCAAAAGGAGCATGTCATGCAGATGAACTTGGATATCTCTTCGATATATCTTTCATGGATAAAAACATCACATCTGACGACAAGCTGATCATCGACCGTATGTCTACTTTATGGGCTAATTTCGTAAAATACGGGTAAGTCTTAACATTTAATAAAAAATTTGAAATAATTTTGTGAGTTCGACAATGTAGATTGTGTAGACCCACTCCACGCCACAAACTTCGTAAAATATTAAAGTATTCAGTTCACAAATATTTTTTATCATCATTTCAGAAACCCAACTCCACAGACAAGTGAACTACTCCCTCTTGAATGGCCGCTGGTTACAAACGATTTACTGAATTACTTGCATATCGACACAGAACTCAAAGTTAAAAAGAGAAACTTCAAAGCTCGCATGGCGTTTTGGGACCTGTTTTATAAACTCTATGAAAAGTCTCAAATTGGATACAGAGAAAATACCGATGAATTTACATGTCCAGCGACACTGCGCAAAGTAATATTCTATAAACAAGTGATAGATGGCTACTCTTGCGTATGATTACATGTATACCTATAATATCGGCAAAAAGTCAGTGTGACATTTGTTTCACATATGCAACTTTACTCCATTAAGGAATAAAATTGATATCGTAAATATTAGTACTAACAACACTCTTTGTGTGGTCCACAAATTGTTGTTCAGGGTCTAGGTGACATGTCTATGTGAAATTGTATGCTTGCAAACGCACCTATAACACAGGAGAAAATGTTATTATGGAGTAACGTTAAAAAAATACGCAAAGATTTTACAAAATGTCCACCAGGTCGGTATAGTAGTTATCTTGTTTGTCGTTTATTGGACGGTGGCAGCAGTAACAGAGACATCCGTCTCTCCATCCGGCTGTCTGGCAAACGACCATGTTTATCTAGTCACTTTAACGAAAATAGTTTAGGGAGAGCTAAAATATGTAGTTATTATTTCTTTACCGAATAAAACAAGTTACGTGTACGGCTTTCCACACGTGATTGAGCCCATCGTAGGCATATTTTAGTTTCCCAAAAATTGTTATAGTTTTTAGGGACAGCATTTATAGCCAATTTTACTTTTTTTTAAGTTATTTTGGCACATTCCTTTCGACTCTATTACCATTTGAGGAACCAATAATTTGATAATACGTTATGTTAATATACGACGCCCTCGTCTTTGGCAAATGATTTCGCAATATTTTATCAAAATCGATGTAATCTGTTAATCTATGTTGTGATCAGAATCTGTAATCTATTATCTCCTTTGCACACTTGAGAAAAATACAAGGCCCTTTTGTGTCGCCTCTAATCGGTAAAACTTCTAGAGTTATTTTATTTCTCGTGCACGAACCGCAAACATGTGGGGCGATTGCAAATACAAAATATTATTTTCATCTCTAATACTCTGTCTAATCCATAATGGAAGTGGATTATCTAGGATTGATCCGCTAGTGGATTCTAAAGTTGGATTAATCCGTGGTTTGAGAGCATCGGATGGCGATTACTCCATGTTCATGGGTATACCTTACGCTACTGTTGACAAGAGCAATCCTTTTGGGGTAAGTGTTTAATTTCTTATTAATTTTCCTATGTATGGCTTCCTTTGAGTTACTAGCTTCTGCCAGCACATCGCCTGCTTTCCCGTAGGACCATATTCCAAAACCATTTTCAGACCATATTCTACCCCTGTTCCAAATTTAATCCGGATCCCTTCAGCCGTTTTGACGTAATTGAGTAACAAATATACACACAAACTTTCGCATTTATAATATTAGTATGATACAAAAACATAAATCATTTTTGTTTATCGTTTCTTAGCCAGCTACGCCTCACCCGGTCTTTGACGACATCTTTGAAGCTTATGATGATTCAGCAATATGTCCACAAATTGAAGAATTCAATAATACTATTGTAGGAACGTTGGACTGCCTTCACATAAATATCTATGCACCAAATTCTGCCAATTCAAGGAACCGATTACCAGTTGCTGTCTGGATCTATGGCGGCGGATTTTCAATTGGATTCTCAGGCAGATACTTGTATGGACCACGCTACTTTGTTAATCAAGATATTATTTTAGTAACGCTAAATTACCGATTGGGACCGTATGGATTCATGTCTCTCAATACACCTGATGTGCCTGGTAATCAAGGCCTTAAGGACCAAAGATTAGCCTTAAAATGGATTAAAGATAACATTGAAGCATTTGGTGGTGATTCTGATAAAATAACAATTTTCGGTGAAAGCGCCGGTGGAGCATCAGTTGACTTACAATTTTTGTACAACCAGGAAAAATTATTTGATAAGGTGATTATGCAAAGTGGTACAGCGATATGTCCCTGGGCGGTAATAGAACCTGACACATTAGCACCTCTAAAATTATCCGAACACCTTGGTTTTAAAACATCAAACGCTGAAGAAGCATTAGCTTTCCTGGCAACGGTTGATACAAACTTAGTAATAGCAGCAGCTTCAGAGCTTGATTTGATGTTCCGTCCGACTGTGGAAGAAGGTTTTGATTCCGATGACAAATTCATTTATGACTACCCCATCAATGTAAAGAAAACGAACCTCAGAAACGTGCCCATACTTATAGGATACAACAGTGACGAACGTCTCGCACAATACGAAACATTACCATCCGCAGATTTTGCAAAGCTAGACCTATTTAACGATCATTTGCAACATTTTAATCTAGATGATGAAAGTTTTGTTGAAATGGAGGCACTTTTAAGACATTTCTATATAGGAGACGAAAAAATTAGTGGGAATGTCAAAAACGAATTGATTAAATTCGATTCAGACTTCTGGTTCAATCATCCAGTACAGAGAACTATACAAAAATATTTAGACGGCGGAGCGAGGAACATTTATCAGTACGTGTTTTCTTATGATGGTAAAAGAAATTTTGTCAAAGACAGATTAAATGTAACAGCCGCAGGAGCAGCGCATGCAGATGAGATCGGATATTTCTTTGACATCTCATACATGGGGCCACCCTCTTTGGAAGACCAAGTTATCATCGATCGTGTCACCACATTATGGGCAAACTTCGTTAAATTTGGGTACGTATCTATTACTTTACATCACGTACACTTTGATGTTAATTCGATAGGCGATATACCTATAGATAGACAAAAGTGCTTTTTTTTTTTTTTCTTTTTCTTTTTTTTTTTAAGGGGGGAAAATCATCGAATGACTGCTCCCGCCTGGGTGAGGCGGGAGGGAGTGTCAGACTCTTACTGACTAAAAACCACCCCGTTCCTTCTCCTGCACGTCGAGCCGGAGCCCCGGTTACCCGTTAGGTTCTCCGCGACTCCGAATCGGCATCGGCCCTATTGGGCCCCATCTGTGGTGGTCTGATGGCTCTTTGAGGCGCGCGCGGAACGCGACGCGCCGTACGCTCGGGTCTGTTTCTGGTCGGACGGGGAGCCACCCATGCTCGCCGTCCGCAGGCCCGCGCTTACGGTGGCCGGAGATCGTCCCGCGATCCCCGACGCCCGGTGTGTCCTTCGCGATGGCTGGGTTGCGAGGAGGCAGCGCTTCGCTGCCTCACGCGTCCCGCCTCCTCCTTAGCTAGCATGACTGCTTCGCAAAAGGAGGAGACGGCATCCCAATCCCCCTCGCTCCGCATCATGGCCTGCACTAGGCCCGGACGCGAGAGGTCGCCATCGCCGATCACTTCCCTGAGGACACGGCGGTGCTCAGCCCACGAAGGGCATTCTCCCACCGTGTGTTCCACCGTGTCCTCAGGGCGGTCCTCGCAGTGATGACACCCGGGCGTTTCCTCCCGCCCCATCAGACACAGGTACCTCCCGAAACTTCCATGTCCGGTGAGGACCTGCGTCAGGCGGTAGGTGAGGACGCCGTAGCGTCTCTCAAGCCACTCCTCAAAGAGGGGACTTACCGCTGCGATGGCAGCGAGCCCAGCCCTCGGTTGCGACAGTCGTTGCTGCCATTCCGCCATGAGATCGCGCCGGAGCTCATCCCGCCACGCACTTATCTGGCGCGGCAGCGGAGTTTCGCCCCGGCGACGTGCCTCCGCGCGCATGCTGTGCACGCGCGCGAGCACCTTCGCCTCCAGATCCCACGGCGGTAATCCGGCAAGGAGGTTCGCCGACTCCCCAGAGATCGTGCGGTATCCGCGGATCATTCGGATCGCCATGACCCTCTGTGCCATGAGCAGCGTCCGAGCGGGACGCCGCAACAGGTTAGGCGCCCAAACAGGGGCGCCGTAGAGGGCCATGGACCGCACGACCCCGGCGTATAACCTCCGGCAGGAGGCGTTTGGCCCCCCGAGGTTGGGGAGGATGCGTTTAAACGCAGCCCCCGCCCTCGCCAACTTTGGAGCCAAACGTCGGAAGTGCTCCACGAAGTTCCACCGACTGTCGAGGACGAGTCAGACAAAAGTGCTGTAAGCATAGATACGTACAACTCAGCCCTATTTTCAGTGACAAGGGCGCGATATTATAACACAGAAAATCTCAAATAAATATTATTTACTAAAAGATCTCTTATCTTCCAGAAACCCCACTCCGGTGACAACAGAATTATTGCCCGTACAATGGCCGTCAGTCACAAAGGAATCGTTGAACTACCTGAATATCGACTCTGAACTCAAAGTTGAAAAGAGGCATTACAAATCAAGGATGGCTTTCTGGGATCTGTTTTATAAACTCAATAAAAATGCCCAAATTGGCTACGAAGAGAGTTCTAAGTAAACTTAAAGTTACTGTATATCTAAAGATAATTTATTATATTAGGTAGGTAACTGGGTTTTCGAAGTAGGCTACCTCATTAGTTCTTCTGGGTAGTTAGTTCTCTTTATAATATATGTCTTTGTGGGATTTTTGTTACTATGAGAATAGGTTTAAGAAAGTTAATTATCAATAAAAAATATTAAGCATCATATTACTGGTGTTTTTATTGTATTACAGAAACGTGAGGTATAAGAATAGGTCTTAAATTGAATTTTATCTGAAGAACGAAGATAAACCAAAGCCTAAAGGTTATATTATAAGTTATAATATACCCGGTACAATATGGCCCTTAAAGTTATAATTTATAACGTTTAGGGCCATATTGTACCGGGACGCCATAGCGGTGCAACCAGTCGCGTCGCCGTGGTATCCGTAAGCTACTAAACTACACACTTGAGTCCATACACCTCTCTGCGACACTATCAAAATAGATTTCAAATGCTGGCATCCGAACTGGTCGCGACACCATACTGATTGCGCAACCGAGCCGACACCAGGTGAGTAATTCTCTATAGAGATGCATAAGTTTTGTTGGTGGCGGCGCCTGGTTGCGTTGCCATGGAGTCCCTGTGAAATATAGCAGTTATTGGGTGAGCAAGGTTGTTTTCTGACAAGGAAAACTACTTATAAATAAATAATAATTACCGCAGTCGTTAAGAATGTACCATTTTCATATCGATACTTGGCTTATTAACACGTTATAAGAAAATAATTTATCAAAATTTTCCATAACTAGTCCATCAAGGAACAGACACTGTAGTCATTTTTGGGTCTCCTGACGTTCATATGTCCTCGTAAGTGATTTTGAATTTTCTTTTTCATTTATGTGACGTTTATAATTTGGGAATAGCTTAAAATGATTAATTATTAAATATAGATTCTTGGACCTTCAAGAAAATATATAGGAATAAGGTATATTTTCAAGGTATATCAAACTTGAGATCTTACTATCTTAGCTAGTAGATCACTAGAGATATCAATATATCTAATCTTGTTTGCAAAATGTAAGTCAAGATCAACTAACAACCAAATAGTTCTCTTGTCAACAAGATAAGGCAGCGAACATTAGGTTCTTATGTAATGGTGAGAGTTAGTCACCATATTTCACCCTGACCAACAAACAAAACTATCAAGTGAACCTCTAACTATACAAGGCTTGCCACTTAGTACCTATGGTACCTAAGGAGAAATTTATTAATTAAGGCTATCAGTCTTCTATTAATTAGTTTTCATTGTAACCTGCAATAAAAAAATATGGTGTATTAGTCATCTAAACTTTTGGACGTGAAACGATACCATCCCAATCCCAAGGTACCTGGTTCTGTCTTTACCAGAACTACAATAGAAAAATAAATCAACACTACTCAAGATGAACAGACATCCACACAACAACAAAGAAAATATGTAAGAATCTATGTCACAAAAAGTAAACTCACATACAGATTCAAATTAATTTTCCTTTTATTTTAAGTTTAAACTCTCGAAAATTATCACATCCAGCGGTATTAGGTTAGAGGTCACTGACACTTGTATCCGGATTCCGGACAATAGAAAAATCGAGATCACCAACATACTGTCCCATTTTGGTCTCTAGCCAACGTGAATTTTACATCTGAATAAAATGGGGTTTGCTGAGAAGTGAAAAAGTCTTTGTTGAATCGGAAAATCGACCCATACTCAACATTGCCTCTACGCATCCATTCTCAGCAATCACCTGAAATACTTTTACTGATCCTGATGTTAATAACTCGATATAATGCTAAATTATTCAAGTTTTGCATTTTAGATATACTTTTGATTTCAATTTTAGATCACATATGTACGCTAAATAGGTCCAAAAAACAAATAAATACCTACCCATATAAAAATAATAAGGTGGGCCGAGTTCCTTAAACTAATATATTTGTTACAAGTTATATTGAAAGCAAACATAATCAAGAATGTTATGTTATCATCACTGTCTATCGCAAGTTATAGTATAAAATCGGCTAAAATTGTATAATAATATAACGGTTACAGAACAGCTTTTCAGATCAAGCGTAACAATATTATTATGTTACCGAAAGCTCCTTGAATTTCAGACGGCTTCAGTGACGTATTACACATTCTGCGTGGAAAAGATTTTGTACTTATTTTTGTAATGTCACGGTTTTCGTCGGATCACTTTGTAAATATCTTGAATGTATGTATCCTATGTATATTGTAGTTTTATATGCCTTTACTTAAGTTTACCTCTGTGTAAAGATAACTGTTACAGATAATAATATTAGGATGTCTATATGTGAAGTCTATTTTTAGTAACGACTTTATTTAATTCAATCCTTATATAGTTGATGAATTCTATTGGAATATTACGTACAACGAAATCTATATATATAAAATTCAAAGGTGATTGACTGACTGACTGATTGACTGACTGACATAGTGATCTATCAACGCACAGCCCAAACCGCTGGACAGATTGGGCTAAAATTTGGCATACAGATAGATGTTATGACGTAGGCATTCGCTAAGAAAGGATTTTGATAATTTCCACCCCCAAGGGGGTAAAAAAGGGGATGAAAGTTTGTATGAGACTTTGTCAGTTTTAAACCGATCGGGTTGTAATTTGGCATGCAGATAGATGTTATGACGTAAGCATCCGATGTGAAAGGATTTTGATAATTTCCACCCCCAATGGGGGTAAAATAGGGGATGAAAGTTTGTATGAGACTTTGTCAGTTTTAAACCGATCGGGTTGTAATTTGGCATGCAGATAGATGTTATGACGTAAGCATCCGATGTGAAAGGATTTTGATAATTTCCACCCCCAATGGGGGTAAAATAGGGGATGAAAGTTTGTATGAGACTTTGTCAGTTTTAAACCGATCGGGTTGTAATTTGGCATGCAGATAGATGTTATGACGTAAGCATCCGATGTGAAAGGATTTTGATAATTTCCACCCCCAATGGGGGTAAAATAGGGGATGAAAGTTTGTATGAGACTTTGTCAGTTTTAAACCGATCGGGTTGTAATTTGGCATGCAGATAGATGTTACGACGTAGGCGTCCGCTGTGAAAGGATTTTGATAATTTCCACCCCCAAGTGGGTAAAATAGGGGATGAAAGTTTATATGAGCCTTTGTCAGTTTTAAACCGATCAGGTTGAAATTTGGCATGCAGATAGATGTTATGACGTAAGCATCCGCTTTGAAAGGATTTTGATAATTTCCACCAAGGGGGTAAAATAGGGGATGAACGTTTGTGTGAGGCTTTGTCAGTTTTACACCGATCGGGTTGAAATTCGGCGTGCAGATGGATATTATGACGTAAACGTCCCTTTAGAAAGGTTTTTGAACATTCTCACCCCAAAGTATGATACTTTGCCAGTTTTAAATTGATCGGGCTGAGACTTTGCATGCATAAAGTTACTATGACATAGGTATCTCTTTAGAAAGGATTTTGATAAATTCCACCCCTAAGGGGATAAAATAGGGAATGAGAGTTTGTATAAATCTTCTTAGCCGTTGAATTTAGAATCATTGAATCTTTTTGAATTACATTCGGTAAAACGATGATTTGGGACCTGGGTAACGTATGATAGTTTTTTCACAGATGTCTCACGAGAACGGGAACTATGCGTCAATGCCCCAGGACTCTCTAACTCTTAACCACTGAACTTATTCTAGAGAGATTCGGTACAACAATAGTCGATAGAATAGTTTTTATTACTCAAACCTTACGTGATCGGGCACTGTACTGGTAAGATCCCTGCGGGATTATTTATTTATTGAAACTACGATAAATCATTTCAAAATAGGTAAATCTTACTTGGGCACTGAATTGATTCTGGTTAATTCTGTCAGAAGTCATTAATCTACGCGGACGAAGTCGCGGGCAACAGCTATCTACACATATAATAAATCGTAGAAAAGTCAAAACTGTACATTGAATATTTTTTAAAAGAATATTTGAAGCGTGATCTCTAATCGATACCGAAGCCAATAATGTGGTTTTTAGAATTTTTGTCTGTTTGTCTGTATGTATGGCCGTGATGATCTCAAAAAGTACTGCACTACTATTTCAAATTTTGCATGAATATTACTAACAAGTCTGGTAAACATATAGGCTACATATTATCACGCTATCATCTACGGGACTGAATCAATTCTGACGACATCCATTACCGTAGAATATCCCTTGATAAAAACTAATTCAAAAGCCTAAATTCTGCCAGAAGTCATTATTCTACGCGGACGAAGTCGCGGGCAACAGCTAGTTTTATTATAAGACAAAATGTAGCTGTCTACTAGAATGCTAACAGTTAAATGTTCGGGAAAAATAAAATGCCAATGTGTTATTGTAATGTTTTTGTATATTTCGAACTTAATTTTCTAATTAAAAATCATTTTGTTGTGATAATGAACTACATTCAAAAATAGGAAAGAACATTGATTAGCCATTAAACGTGCCCAGTTCACAACAACCTTAACTATAAATATTATATTATTACAATTTATACACTTTATCTTAAGTCTACCCCCAGTTCAATACCCTTGACTAATTGTCTTTGCTTTTGTCACTAACATACTTTTCAGCGGCCATAGCAATAGCTCTTGTGACTCTACCTGTAATTTCGTGGAGATTCTCATTAGAAAGATGAGATTCAATTGACCTCTTTGAGAAGAAACTGGCTGTAGTAGTGTTCGGCCTCCAGCTGTTAGGATAAGTAATCTTATGACGCAGTACTGCCTTAATGATCAGAGCTCCTACGTAAACAATGAAGTACACACTAAAGTATAGAGGCAAATAGTAAAGCTTCTTCCCGAGGTAATAGTAACTGTATCGGTTGACACGGGGCATCTCCGTTGTAGTTGTCGTCGTAGGGTGATGATAGTGGTAATGGTCGTGGTCGTGATCATGCTCATCAAAGTCATGATGAAATTTGAAATCCCCGGGAAAATCGTGAGGAAAACCATGATCATCCATAGGAGCGTCGTGTGAATCAGGCTTCATATCTCCGGCTGGAGGAGGAGGAGGCACCATTCCCATATCACCGCCTTTCATGGCATCGCCACCTTTCAAACTTCCATGCGGCTTATCAAAGATGAGTTCTGGATAGTCTGGTTGATATGATGGAGGTGGTTCGTCATGGTGGTCATAAGTAGGTCCATGATCTTGTGGCGGCGCTGGTGGTGCTGGTTTACTATATTGATAACCTTGGAAGTCGGGTTTGCTGTCCATCATCGGTGGGCTGTCATCGTTTCCATAACTAGGCCCATCATCTTGAGGCGGTGAAGGTGGAGCTGGCTTATTATAATGGTAGCCTTGGAAGTCAGGCTTACTATCTCCATCATCTTGAGCCATCTGTGGTTTATTATAGGTGTATCCCGAAAAAGGTTTGCTAGGAGGAGGTATTGTAGGAACAAATGGCAGTGATGGAGGAGCAGGAGCAGAAGGTGGTTTATATCTGTACCCAACATCCGAAGGCGGTCCGTCATCATCACTATCGCTGGAAGATAGATCCGGACCAGAGTCACTGGGTGGTTGATACGAAGTAACAGGACGCGGTGCTGGAGCTGAAGGTGCATAGGGCGGGAAGGACTCATACGTGCTTGGGGTTGGGAAATCATCCGCTGTTAGTTGAGGTGCAGGCGGGGGTGGCGGAGGTACTAGACTTGCAACAGCATTAATTGGACGTGGTGGGGGACCAGAGGGCTGTGGAGGACGTGGTGGTGGTGGCGGCGGTGGAGCTGATGCAGGAGCTGGTTTAGCTTTGGCTCCGTAAGTTGGTGGCTGAGGCAAGTAAGGTTGAGCAGGATTATAACGGTCGATCTGTTGTCGTACAGGAGCAGCGGATTCTTGAACTTCGCCTCTTACTGGATTTTTAATGTCAGTAAAACTGTCTAAGTTAAACATATTGTTCCCCTTTTTGCCATTCGAAAAAGAATTGATCTTTTTCATATTTTTCATTTGAAACGGTTTCAAGTCTATGTAAGGAAAACGTATGTTAGGTTCTGTTCGGATTGCCCTGGATTCGTTTTCGGCTCCATTACCGGGATTAGTACCAAATCTGTGAACAATAAATAAAACGTATTTGTTTAAAAAGCTATCTTACACTCAGATTTGTCATACAGTAACGAGAACACCTTAATATGATTGTTAACAAAGTAAATAATTCGAACACTACTCACCCTGGTAAGGCAAAGTTGTCGTCAATTCCGATATTGTCTTCACTTTTATCATCTTGTTCCTGAACGTCAGCGCTTTCAGAATTGCTTTTGTTTTGATCCTCATCTTGGTTTTGTTCAGAACTAATAGGTTCTTCTTCCCATGTACCAGAATATTGATCATGTTTCTGACTGTCAATAATATGCCAAATATTTTCCACATTATTCACTGGCGCTTGTGTCGTCGTCGTTGTAGACGTGGTGGTAGTTGGGGACGGTGCCGTACTCGGGGATGCTACTGAAGGCACGTACACTGGGCCGGAGTTATACAAATTATTATACAAAGAAAAATAGTCAGTCATATCAGTGTTAACAGGTTTCTCCGTCGACGGCGCTGGTAAACCGTAACTTGAGTCATTACTTGCTTCTTCATCGGGAACGTAGATAGGTCTCGATGTTGTACTCGTAGTAGTCGTTGTGGTCGTTTTATATTTGATTTTCTCTTTTTCAAGAAGTTTTCGAATTGATTTCATATTGTTGTTATCGGATTCGAACTCAGCGAATATCAAGTCAGGAGTCTTGGTTCTCTCAGTTGTCGTGGTAGTAACCGTTGTGTTTTGTGGAGTATCCATTCTGCTCATCCATTTGTGGTAGTAAAATGGTGCTGATCTTCCCATATCAATTTGCGGCGGTCGCGGAGATGGTGTTACAACGTACACTAATGGTCCTGGTAGATTCGCGGTATAAACATGGTAGATATGAAAACAGTTTAACAAAACGGCAAAAATAACTACTCGATTCATTTTAGACGAATGTTAGAGGTACATTTGTATTCACGGAAATGCGCGAGTGCTCCACACGACAACTGACTAGAAAATGATGGGTAAAGTTAAATATTTTCAAATACACATGCTCTGGACAGATGCGTTGGGTGTAAAACTGCGATAATTTTTAGCGGTACTCTAATATGTAGAACGCTGTAGGCACGATTCAGATGACCCAAACCCGAGTTACAATTTACACAATTAGCACGATAATCAATATCGCTCCCGACCGAGCCTTTGTAGAAAGTGTCACATATTTGTTCAAAACATTTAGATCACCTTAAGTGGAAAGTTGTCTACATTCCATTCGATCATCTAATAAGATAATGTACCAGTCAAATTCAGATATTGTTCTAATAACTACTTTATTTTGGCATTACGTATTCAGCTCGTCGATTTCAGCTAGAAGAGTTTCAGTAGTTCTCTGGAGGATTTTTGGGAGAGAATTCTCGCCTTTAATGAATATATCAGTTGATAACAGTAATATCGTCTTTGCACTGAACGTTTAATGTGACTAGCTGGGTGTGGGGACACTGAACCATGCAGAGAAATTGTATTACATTGTAGGGCAATTTTTTGACATAAAGCTATATAATTGAGTCAGCCTTGTTCATCTAACAAATACTTAGATTAGAATTTTGTACCCAAAGGGCTGCTGTTACGCTTGAAAATCTGATTCAATTGCTTATGCAAACTTTATTGGGTTTTATTTATTATAATGGCTTGTGAGAGTGACAAGCTTACAATATAGCTCATCAGGTATGTATGATTGTGATGAATTTACCTTGCGAATATGATTTATTGCCATTTTACTGCTAGTCGGGATTTGTTATTTTTGGGACAAGCCCGCTACAACCTCCCAAAACCGCTACAATTCCACAACCATGAAAAGACCGGAACATGAATCACTGTTTATCATTTCATTTCATTCAATATCAGGGACATGAATAAGTGATGACTTAATAGAGAAGAGGAAAAAAATCGATAGCTTCCACTTTCGGTCAATTAAGGCAGAATTTTACTAAAAAACTAAACGGGCCTTATGTGTGAGCTATTATAACGGCTTTCAATAATATGTATGGTAAAAACACCCAAACGCATGGAAATTAGTTCTAGATTCCAAAAACTTATAACTACACCTCGTATTGCAAATCAGGTGTCGAACTGTCAGGATTACTTAAAATATTTTTTATGATGATCTTTTGAAAAGATCTGCTTTGCAAATATTTGATATGGTACTTATTGGTATTAGTATAGTACAGTATACTATCGAGGTACGTTGTAGGGATTTTTTTAAGGGGGGAAATTTATCGAATGACTTCTCCCGCCTTGGTGAGGCGAAAGGGAGTGTCATACTCTTACTGACTAAAAACCACCCGGTTCCTTCCCCTGCACTTCGAGCCGAAGCCCCGGTAAACCATTAGCTTCTCCGCGACTCTGAATCGGCATCAGCCCTATTGGGCCCAATCCGTCGTGGTCTGATGGCTCATAGATACGCGCGCGGAACGCGACGCGCCGTACGCTCGGGACGTTGTAGGGATAGCGGAACCTTAACAGTCTTTGAAAAGAGTAAATAGGTTCAGTGCCTTTTTGTTCTATTGACTAAAATCACAAATTTATTTAACGTGTAGAATCAAAATATAATCATTCTGATAATTTATGATAATGTTTTTGGTTAGTTAGCTTGAAATATCATGATTTTAAGGTATACGTACTTAATCAATAATTAAAGGGCTGGTATTATGTACAGCAGCTATTTTCATATGATTTATGGAAGACAAACAAAACACACATAAAATAACAATATTTAATTAATAAATATTATTAATCTATTATAATTTATTCATCAATTTGTATTACTCACTGCTCTGGTACTTAAACAATAGAAACACAATTAAATTGTGTGATTTCTTATTATCTACTTACACTTTGAACTAATATTTAAACATGACATGGATGATAACAACATTATAATTACTTATTACCTACTTAATTACTTTTATTGTGTTTGTAGTACAATATCGATGCTTCCAATCTGAAAGCAATGTCAATATTTTTACGCTTCCAAAAGAAGATACCTATAATACAGCTCGGAATAAATCTTAATGTAGGTGTAAAGGCTCATTACAAACTAAACTCGGCTTAAAACTATTATTATTATAGTTATTATTGCTATAACAGTCGCGAGGCGACTTCTAATACACTTTTACTGAACTAATTTGTATGTGAGAATCACACAGCGGGCACTTTGCTTTCTTCTTTCCTATTTTCTGATGATTCAGTTTCATTGTATGCTGGATTGTCAACACCGGAGTCACTACCGCCATCTGCATTGTCAGGCACTAACTTCGCACGATTCGAGTCAGGCTCCTTCACTTTGTCCACAACAGAGTTCTCTAGTTTAACCTCCGGTTTGCTAGCGACATCTGTCGGTGGCACAGTTTTATCGCCATCTTTGTTAGTCTCGTTGCCCTCAACATCAGCTGGTGTTTGCTTCTTCTTACAAAAGTCATCGTCGTAACTAACTGCCCTTTTCCGTAAGTAGAATTTATTGAATAAATAATAAATGCAACCAGTGATGAACGTCGCACCGGCAAATATTTGGTAGGTCGGTCTGGTACCGAAGAACTTCATGAGGTAACCGCCGATAAGACTGCCAGCTCCTTTGCCTGTAAAATACATTTTGGAAATACTTAAAACAATTGATGAAAGATTACATAATTACTTATTTTCTTACCCATAATTGAATAATTACTTTATAATATACAAGTCTCTTACTTTATCCACGTATCCTGGAATATTTAGTTTAATAGAAAGACTCCTAGATACTCCTAAAGGGAGCTTGAAGTTACGCTATATACGTACACACACATGCATGATGTCGATGAGTAATTATGGTATGTGAATATGGTAAGAAAGCTAAATGAAGGTCACCCACAGGATACGACAATGCTATTGTGTGCATTCATAACTAGCATATTAATTAATGCCTAGCAATGACCCTTTTCTATCTATAAATATACTTCCGAAATAGATTTATTTATTAACTTTACTATAAAAAGTAGACTAAATTGACTAGTACTTAGTTAGTACTTAGTCCCATTGGACACATTATTATCTTCTCTATATTTGTTAAAGTTGACGGCCAACCTTCAGGAATGAAGTGGCACCATAAGAAGAAGAAGAAGATATTTGTTTCATACATTTTCCCAAAGGTTTATCAATGTGTAGATTTTGCAACTTGCTGTCAAGTTCCAACCCGCCATAAAATGTTTGTTCCGAGCGGAAATAAAAAACTTAAACTTTCTTGGTGCAATTACCAAACATTTTTTAAACACAAGGAATCATAAAGGCATAATTAGATATAAATACGAAACATACCGACGCCATAGTAAATTCCTCCCAGAAGTCCCTGCACAGAAGTATCAGTGGTAGTAGAAGAGAGACGGGCCGCATACGTCACCGCTGCAGTGAAGGATAATGATGACGTCACAGACTCCAGAGCTTCGAACACCAGGCATAGCCAAGGGTTGTAGATCAGCGAGTAACCTGTAGATAAAGTAGTTACATAAGAATCGGTCAACGAAAGTATAATATAGAATATAAAGTAAAATAAGGTAGGAAGGTCCTGCATCCGCAAAGAAAATGTAAAGTAACAACTAGCTATTGACAATGAAATAACATGGTCTACCGCCAAACCTATAAGTACTCTCATGCATCTATTGATTCCCGATTCGTTTCTCGGTTGGCGATTTGAAAGTACGTTAACTCAACGAAGGTACCTACTTATTAAGTAAGTTATGTTTCTAATTAGTCCACTTGTCTTGACATGGTGTAAATATGCCTAAAATCTTTTTAGTATTCATGACATCTAAACGCCTAATGCTAGAGACATAAAGTACCTTGAATTGCATTTAGGAAAGTTCTTAGAAACAAAAGGGAAATCAGTAAATGGGAAACGAATCCAAGCGGTGAAAGTGGAACCACAGCTTACATAGTCACTGAACGAGTCGATCTACTGCTAACCTCGAGTTCAATCGCTTTTGAACTGATCTTAATTCTAATCACGACAATTAGGTAGTTGCCTTTTAACAATTGCTAATTTGATGTGATGAGGACACAAAAGATTGCACGGAACTAGTTGTATGAGTCTCTCTCAAGTTATTGTTAGCAGCTAATAGCCTAAATACATCCTCGTGTTTAACAATTTCTCTTCTTAAATAATATTAACGAACAGACAGATTTGTTTTTCTAGCTCTTCAATGATATTATTATGTTCTCTTTCTTATGTAACCCAGTCAACATTATTGTCACTTTTTGGGTACACATCTCGTATAGTTGTTAGCGGTTGCGTAATACCATAACTTGTAAAACGTAAAAATAATCTTAAAACTTACCGAGCAATCTGATAGCGTAGAAGATGAATCCGATGAAGAGCACATTAGCGTGTCCCAGCCTCCTGATAATGGGACCCGAGAGTACAAGGAGTGGAAGACCAGCGATACCTCCAACAGTTATAGTGATGCCCATCAGGGAACGGGACGCTCCTAAATCTTGTAGCAGCCAGAACAAGAAGCTCTCAATGTAACCCCATGCCGTTCCTGAAAAATAATAACAATTTATGATAAGGTATTTCATTGTTTCATATTATTATATTTTTAAAGGAAAACCGTAGAAAAATACTCGAATAAAGAATTCAAACGTTATTAGTCATCTCAAGACATTTAAACAGATTTCGAACAAACCCAACTGAATAAATAAATGAAATAACGATAATACATTTTTGAGAATTATAGCTTGTTATTGCAGGTACGTATAATACTTTAAGACGTGTTTATAGTGACAATAGCTGAACAATGGATCAAAAAATTTCAGAAATTCACAAATTAATTTGCAGAAATCCATGATCACACTCATGATCTTTACATTTACCTGCCAATTCTTTCATTCATCCTTTCCTTTTTTGCAATACCCATACTACACGGGTAGGTACTAAGATGAACAAACTTAAAAAGTAAGATTAAACCACAATGGACCACACCTTCTATCTTTTTAAAAATATC